TCTCAGCTGCCATACCAAAGTAAAGCTAAATATGTCTTTAAAGATGTTTGAACAACAGTACTTCTACATGAGGGTATAATGATATTAGACTTTTCTGAAATTTCTTGTTTATTAACCACACAGACCCACACATAGGGTCTCCCTGATATTTGCTGAATGTTGGGATCCAAATGTGGAATGAACACTGTCAACTTAATCTTAGAAAACCAGGGCCACCCCCATCAGTACAAAATTTCTGTGTAATATAGCAAATGGTGCAGTTTAGGAAACATGCTACTTTTAAATTTACTCAACAGGGTAAATATTGATAAAAAGTTGATGTATATCACTGTATGGTGCATAGAGAAAAAACAACATTATGTTTAGTTAAATTGTAATACTTTGATTCCTACCATGTAAAATCTGTTTCCCTGAAAAAAAATTAAAAGACATTTTCCAAGCTAATTAAAAGAAGGTAGGATTTCCAACATATTGCAAATAATTCTCCAATGGCAAATGGATGTTCACATGATTCACTCCCGGTTTACCTATTGAGAAAATTACAGCATAAGAGGTACACTTTTAAAAGTAGCAATTTTCTTCAGAGAGAAGGATTAATGACATCAGTTTAATCAGTTAAAAACACATTTGTATTTACTTGATATTAATAAAGCAAAACCACCACTTGTCAGTTTGTCATACTGTGGTGGCTTATGTGTTGCTGTGAGGCTGTAGGCTACGCCACTAGTATTTCAAATACCCACAGGGTCACCCATGGTGGACATATTTCAGCCGGGTTTCCAGACCAAGACAGACTGGGAAGAAGGGAGAGGCTACCCACTTCTCAAAGAATTGGCCAGTGAAAACCTTATGAATAGCAGTGAAACACTGTCTGATATATTACTAGAAAGCTTAATGAATAGCCATGAAACACTGTCTGGTAGACTGCATTCCAAAGAAAGGTGATCTCACAGAATGTGGAAATTATAGAACAATATCATTATCACATGCAAGTAAAATCTTACTGAAGAAAATTCAAAAATGGTTACAGCAGTATATTGACAGAGAACTTCCAGAAATGCAAGTTGGATTCAGAAGAGGATGTGGAATGAAGGATATCATTGCTGGTATCAGATGAATCTTGGCTGGAAGCAAAGAATACCAGAAAGATGTTTACTTGTGCTCTATGGACTATGCAAAAGCATTTGTTTGAGTGGATCATCACAAATTATGGATAACATTGAGAAGAATGGGAACTCCAGAACACTTAATTTTGCTCATGAGGAACCTATACATAGACCAGGAGGCTGTTGTTCAAACAATGAGGGAATACTGCATGGTTTAGAATCAGGAAGGGAGTGTGTCAGGGTTGTATCCTTTCGCCATATTTATTCAATCTGTATGCCGAGCAAATAATCAGAGAAGCTGGACTATAGAAACAAGAGCAAGACATCAGGATTTGAGGAAGAATCATTAACAGCCAGCAATACACAGATGACGCAACTTTGCTAGCTGAAGCATTTAGTGATGAAAATTAAAGACTATAGTCCACAGTATGCATTACATCTCAACATAAAGAAAATGAAAATCTTCACAACTGGACCAATAAACAGCATCAAGATAAATGGAGAAAACAGTTATCAAAGGTTTCATATTACTTGGTTCCACAATCAATATCAATGGAAGCAGCAGGCAAGACATCAGATGATGGATTGCACTGGGAAGATCTGCTGCAAAAGACCTCTTTCAAGTGCTGTGAAACAAAGATGTTTCCTTAAAGACTAAAGTGCACCTAGCCCAAGCCGTGGTATTTTCAATCACTTCGTATGCATGTGAATGCTGGACAATGAATAAGGAAGACCAAAGAATTGATGTTTTTGAGTTGTGCTGTTGGTGAAGAGTCCTGAGAGTACCATGGACTGCTAAAAGAACTAACAAATCTGTCCTGGAAGAAGTGCAGCTGGAATGCTCCTTGGAAACGAGAATGGCCAGCCTTTGTAATATCTACTTTGGTCATGTTGTCAGAAGGGACCATTCCTTGGAGAAGGATTATCATCCTTGGTAAACTGGAGAGTCAACAAAAAAGGGGAAGTCACTCAAGAAAATGGATTGACACAGTGGCTGCAACGATGGGCTCAGGTATGGCAAGAATTGTGAGGCTGGCATAGGACTGGGCAGTGTTTTGCTCTGCTGTGTATAGGGTTGCTATGAGTCGGAGATGACTCAGTGGCACCTAAAAACAACACAACAATAAAGCAAAAGGGTAAGGAATGGCACCCATCCTTCCTGTAGTATATGTAGCAGGTTGTGATCCATAATGGCAAAAACACTTGTCCTCCAGGGACACAACAGGGGAAATGTGAAGTAAAAGTCTTTCCTAGACTCCTAACAATAACCTCATGGCCATACCAGAAGCTCCTTGGGCAACTCAAGTGAGAAGGTTCTTAAAGAACTTTTCTGGGTGGAAGTTCAGGTACCTCCCTGAAAGACATCTGAGGAGCTGTGGGACAGCAGGAAGCCACCTGACCTGGGACATCCAACAGCTGCTGCTGCTAACCACATCTCCTTTTCTTTTCTAGCAATCCCATCGAAAGCTAAGCTCTGAATCAGGACATTTTTCTTAGTAGTAAAGTAATGACACAATGCAAACTAATCAACACTGCTGTGACAAGTCGGTGGGCTTATCCCTCCCAGAAAGTGTTATATAAAAGTTACCCGAAAAATGCTTCTCCAACTGGCAAAGTGAAAGCAAGTGTGTGTGTTTCTGTATGTGTGTGGGTATGTGTGTAGGTGGGGTGCAAAAGTGACTTCATTAAAAAAAAAAAAGTTACTGTCCAGTTAATTCTAACTCATGCAACCTCGTATGTGTCAGAGTAGAACTGTGCTCCATAGGGTTTTTAGTTGCTGACTTTTCAGAAGTTCACTGTCAGGTCTTTCTCCCGACGCACCTCTAGGTGGACTTGAACCATCGTGCATTTGGTTAGCGGCCCAATGCACCACCTGGGGACACTGGCAGAAGTGCCTAGAACCCACCAAAACCAAACCCACTGCTGCTGAGTTGATTCTTATAGCCACCCCATAGGCTTCAAGGCTGTAAATCTCTACAGAAGGGGACTGCTATGCATCTTTCTCTTGCAGAGTGGCTGGTGGATTTTAACTGCCGAGTATTTGGTTAGCAGCCAAATATCTTAGCCACGGTCCCACTAGAAATGCCTCAAACCAAAACCAAATTCACCGCCATCAAGTTGATTCTGACTTTTTATGGAAGTAGAGTCCCCCATCTTCCTTCTATGGAATGGTTGGTGGGATCTTAAGTAGTAGCCCCAGAAGCCTGCTTCCTGCTTCTTCATGAAATTCAGTAAAATTAGCCTACACGCCTGCCTCTCTTTCTCAAAAATAATTCTGTTCAGTAATTTCCAAGGTATTCTTCTTTTTAAAGTAAAACACCTGGTCCTCATTGGCTCTACCCGCTCTGAAACCAACCTTGGCTTGAAGCTTTGGGTTTTTCATTTCAGAAGGAAGGAAAGGCAGAGGCAGAGAAAAATCTGCTCGTGAAACATGTGAAACCCTGTTGAGTTACAGCTTGTAATTCCCACACGAAAACAATTCCCACACTAAAACAATTCAGTCATCAGTATTGTTATTATCATCACTCCTGTCATATGTATTTTTTATTGTACTTGAAGCTGAAATTTTTTAATCAGTTTTCCAAAATCAGAAGGAAAAACTAGTTAGTAATTCAAGGATTTGCTTAAGTCTTAGACAAGAAAATGTATCATATTATCTCCTATCTGTACCCACCCCAACAACATCTGACTTGGGGGTCCCAGGTTTAAGGTACTGTGAGCAAAATGCAGGAATTTTTTTTTTCCCAAAAAAAGTTTTTAAAATATCTAGAGCCCAAAGGCCTCTGGACTTTTTTCTTAAGTTTAACCAAGAATATGTAAAGAGTTCTCCACCAGGTTGAGAGGGAGCATAGAACCAAAGGAAAAATGTGCTAAGAGAAACTTACCACACTTGTAATGAAATTTTCTCTGAAAACACAGCATTTAAAATATTGCAATGTTACTAATTGTATTTCACATGTCAATGTCAATTCAAAGCACAGTTACAGCAATTTATAGTTGACTTTAAAGTAACGGCTATGTGAATATGCTTAGTACTTCAACGGCTTATAATAATTTCTTTTAATGTACAAATTTTAACACAATGACCAAAGTATAATAATAATAAAAGTTGACTTCTGTAGGTGCATAATGATTAGTGACAGAAACTTTGTATTAATCAAATGAGATAGCATATACCAATTCTTAGATAAAATATATGGGTACCCCTCATAGTCATTCCCACAAAGAAAGGAGACACACATCAGCTAAATGAGTTTGAATATACAGAAGTGATTTTGTATGCCAGCTGAAATATTTTGATGAAATGAATCAAATGCAAATTGGCTAAAATAACAGAGAGGATTTGTTGACTCACTTAACTATAAAGTCTGGTGAGAGGAAAGACATCAGACTTGGGAGAGGGGAGGTGTGGTCTGGTGCTCATGCTTTTATCCAATGCCAACTTTACACTAGGGCTCGCTTGAGTCATGGTTGTGTGATAGTGATCAGTAATGACAGATGCCAAGTACTTCCTCTTTCATATCCAAGGAAGTACATGCTTCTGTTCCAGAATTCCAAGCTCAAACCCTGGGAATCTCCCTGATTGGAGCAGCTCACATCACATGCCCAATCCCTAAATAATCAATGTACCCAGGGAAATGGTTTATGGTGATTGGCTTACACCAATCAGAACGCAACTGATCTGGGGACAAACCATTTTGAAAAAGGACATAAGCTATATGGAGGATAGGTAGATACTAATAGTAAAATCTGGAGAAAGGGAAGAATCAATCTGATGTCCATTATACATGGCCATTTTGCCTGCAAGCCCTGGGCTGTATTTACTGAAAATGATTGTTAGCACTCCTCATAAGAAAACAATTTCCAGATTACAAACTAGCAACAACAAAATTCCAAGGCCAGTATGTTTCTTTTTTTATTATTATTTTTATGTTTGACTTAAGATGGTTGAATGAATTCATTTTCATTTATAAGCATTACATTAATTCCCATGCAAATACCCAAGACTGCATATGCCTAATTTCAATCAGCCAAAATTCAGCTTATGTGTCTTGATGTTCAAGATCAAAACCAAAATGTTGCTTGGCCTTTCCAATAGCACACATTATAGGCATCCATCGAGAGATTGGCAGGCCCCTTGATCTCTCACACACCACAGTTTGCCATGAGTCCACACCAAAACAGGGAGCCAATGCCTTGTGGTACCCAAACCTGGCAAGCAATTTTATTCATGAAGACAGGAAACCTCTCCACCAAGGTGCCACCCACAGAAATTTCCTGGTTCCTGCATTATAGTTAAGCCTGCTTTTGAACAGGCATGGCAACTTCAATTTGGGGATTATAATTCTTCCTGCCAGTTTTCCTCAAAACTTAGTAAGGAGACTTTACAAAAAAGCTTACCTCTATAAAGGTAAGAGAGAAATAAATACAAAGACATCCATTTTATCAAGTAGATCCTTTCCCCAGCTTTAGATAAAGTCAATCAATAGGTATAAAGCTTTAAAAACTTTTCTCAGGAAGACAAGGAAACAGACGATCCAAGAGGGCAACACACATCCCATAATTAAAGGAAAACTAAACCAACACAAGAATCATTCTTTTGACTGAGGAAAGTGGTTTAGGTGGAAAAAAATAAAATGATAGTGTTTCAACAGTGGATGTCAATTTATACTGAAACATACACATTGGAACTCTGACAATGGCAAACATTTCATTAGTGCAAATAACAATTATAATGGTATGTTCTTCAACAGGATTTAAATAAGGCTTCAAATAATTACACATGCTAAAACTAACATTTGGAAACCTTAATTCAGGTTGGAAAGCTGTCAAACACACCCTCCCAAACCATCCAAGGTTCTGATTCGAGGACAATTACATTCAGTGAAGTTGCTCCAAAACCCAATTGGGTAGCATTACCATACTCAAAGTCTACAATGTTTGGTGGAAAAAAGGGGGCATTTCTCCAGCACTGGTTAAAAGAAATCGATTCAGTTAACATGCCAGATAATACCCAGGTTCAGACAATTCTCTCAAATATCTATAGTGATGAAAGCTCTTTAAACAAAAAGAAGGGGAAAATAAAAACAAACAAAAATACTTAAATGTTAGAAAGAGATTTGTTTCCCTCACCCCATTAGCAAATTTGCACCAAGTATAAAACAGAAAAATTCAAGAGGATTCATGGGCATTTTCTTCTATGGCTCAAGTTCTCCTACAAAAAAAACAAATCTAGGTGAAAGTAACTACAAAAAGTAAACAACAACAAAAAATAAGAGGCAGAATATGAAATAGTAATGTACTGTTTCAGAGCCTGCACCATCCTGCAGAACCAGGAAACTTTTTGTGTTCTTAACAGATCCAATCTAGGCTGGATATGTAAAAAACGGAAAGACAACATCACAAACCACACTACATATCATGAGAGTTTTAGAACCAGGAAGGTGGTGGGTGGGTGGGGGAAAGTCAGCAAAATGCTCAGAAAAATTTATCATCAATTCTAAAATGGGGCCTTGTGACATCATCAGGGTTAATAAAGACAGAGATGGACTTTCCCGGGTTCTCAGTCACTAGCTGCTGTAGTTTTTTGGCCAAGCGGTCATCAGGCTGGTTGGGGTCCCCTCCATCGGACTGCGGGGAGGGGATGCTGGTGGTGCTGCCCCTGCGCTGCAGCTCTAGCGTCAGCCGGTTGGCTGCCTTGACATGCTCTATGGCGGTGCGCAAGTGCTCCGCCGGATCTGAGCGGACGGAAGAGAGCTTCCGGGCGTGGAGCATGACCGTCTCCTCCGACAGGTGCTCCAGCATGTTGCACTGAGGGATGAAATAATTGGGGCACATCTTGTTGACGAGACAGTGTTGCAGGTCATCGATGAGGCCCAGTAAGAAGTGGGCTGCATAGTCTTCTTGAGCCAAGTAGTTGGCAGGAAGTCTGTCGCAGGCCCAGAGCATCATGCTCCGCAGGTGATAGGGACTAATAGCCTTAGGGCGGGACAGGAGTTTAATGATGATGGCTTTGCAGGCTTGGTAGGCCTGCATGAGGCTGCTAGAGATGCACTTCTTCAGTTGCACCTCACTCCTGGCAAAGGACAGCCGCCACTCATTGTCCTTCTTACCCTTGTAGGAGCAAGCAGGTACCAAGTAAAATCCACTGATGACCTCCTCCTCTGTGATCTTCCCGTCCCAAAAGTGATTCTCCATGAGCCAGCTCTGGGCAACTGCAGGCCAACCTTTGAAGGAGACCACAGGGACAATGTCGTACAACATGCGACTGCTGCCCACACCCAGAATGATGGAGATGATAGTCCCGTTCTTTTCTACCTTTTCTACCTTTGGCATCCCTCGCTGGGGCTTCTTCTGTATCTCTGACAGGACAATGCTGATGGAGTCATAGAACCAGTCAGCCACTTTGGTTGGGGAGAAGAAGTAGTTGGTGGCACCATTGATGTGATCGACGATGGTACAGCAGTCTTTCCACTTACTGATCGTCCCTTCATCAAAGAGCCGGAGGCTCAGCCAAGAGTGGCATAAGGCTGAGTGGCGCATGTCAAGTGTCACAGGCTGATTACGGTCATGCAGCTTAAGGGCTGGCACCAGAAGAGTAAAGTCCATATCATAGTCAGTTCCCCGGGCATAGACATTCAGCTCATCCAAGTCCAGGTCCACCACGCCTTCCCGGACTCCTCCAGAAAGCAACAGGTACTCATTGGCCACTGGAAGTTTTTGGTCCAGTTTTTGCACCATTCCTGAAAACAGAAAGAGAAAACACTATTATAAGAAGCACGCACACACACAGAAGTCTTATGCATCTTATGCATGTCATCAAATAACATGATTATCAAATCAAGAATGCTCTGAACCTCCAAGAACCGCTATTCATTCCATCTGATTGTTGGTACAAAACCAGGTGGTGCTGTGGAGACCTGACTGCCAAGACTTGAATCTTTCTCCTCAGTGCTAGAAAGAATTCAGCCTTTCGTAGGTTGACAGCTATGATAGATATTTCTTGCACAGTGAAAAGCACTACCTATCATTTTCAATCATAAACTAGGGCTCCTCCTCTCATAGTTGTGACCTGAGTGATGACACTGGCATCTGCTGTCACTTAGGCTGAAAACTTCAGTAAGTTTCAACTCTTTCTTATGTTTCTACTGCCAAATCTAATCATTATAACTTCTGTACCTTCTCTCGCTTCCTTCCCCATTCTCCATCTCTACTGCCATCATGTGTGGTCAGTGTTTTTTGGTCTCTTAACCAAGCAGTCTTCCTCCCTCCTAGCTCTCACTGCTTAAACCTTCCCCTTTTTCAGCAATTCTCAAAGTATGGGCTGCAAGCTATTGAGGGTCTCTGGGATATTTACAGGGGGCTGTGAGGTTCACAACTCTTTACATAGTAATACTAAGGCTTTGACTTTTTTGGTGTGTTGACACCTGCACTGATGACCAAAGCAATGGGCTGTGAAATTGGTCTTTAGCATGACTCAAGACAGTGGCATCAAACGGTTCTAGTGGGCATTGGATTCTTCACCATCATCCATTGGCATTAAAAAAAAAAAAAAAAGCCAATTTCAATTAAATAATTGAGGAAGCAGAAACATGATTAATTTTATTTAATTCCAATCCTTGCATAAACATCTTTCTAATATTCAGTGTGACAGAATGGAAGAACTCTAAAGCACTTCTGTTGCATACCAAATACAAAAGCAGTCTTCAGGAAAAGCACTTGTATTTTTTTTTTTTCCTTTGAGATGTGAGCTCAACTTGCTGTGTGGTTCACCAAACACCATTTTTAGTTTAAAAACTGACTGATAAGCAAACTCTGATCATTCAGCCTTAGGTATCTGACAGACATTTTCTGAAAAAATGAACAAAATGCACCTTTCTTTAAGGAAACGATTGATGGTATTTGTTGCTGAGGATAACACTGGAGCTCTTAATAGAAAATTAGAAATTGGAAAACACATATTCTGCACTGTGAGCTGGACAACTTCCCAAATCTCATCCTTTCTGATGAGATTGGTGGTAATATTAACAGATGTATTTTTTGATGAAATTGTGAGCTCTTTGAAGATGACGACCACGTCACCAACATCATTAAGCTGCCACAGGGTGTGCATGCAGTAGACACATAATTGAAGCTGTGACTGAATTACAAAGTTAGCAAATACATGGATTTACTACAGCTTAAATATGAAGTCTACCACCTGTCTGCCCATTTGTTGTACTGTGGAGACTTGTGCTATGATGTTGAAAACTATGCCATTGGTATTTCAAATGCCAGCAGGGTCACCCATGGTGGATAGGTTTCAGTGGGTCTTCCAGGCAAAGAGAAACTAGATGACAGGCCTAGCAATCTACTTCTAAAAATCAGCCAATGAAAAAGTTGTGGATCACAAGAGAACACGGCTGACTCGCTTGTTTTGAACACATCATGCTGTTTGATGAAGTAGAGGGGGAAGGAGATCTTCTGGGAGATGAAGTGACACAAGAGCTACAACAAAGGACCCAAACATGCCAGTGAGTCAGAGGATGCCACAGGACCAGGCAATCTTTCATTCTGTTGGACATGAATTGCCATAAGTCAGAGTTAACTTGGTGGTAGCTATCTATCTACCTAAATAGGAAGTAGTTTAAATAAAGATTGCACTTAAAGACTATTCCAACAACAGCATAAAAACTTACCCTCCCTACCTCCTGTCTTTGCATTATATACTTAGTTGAGCTCCATTATCTGACAAACTACCAGCATCACTATGTATGATTTATGTGACAAGTCTTTCCCAAAGATCCCAAAGAATTACCACAAACTACTATTCCATCAGTCATTGCAGTTACTTTTAATCAACATAAAAGCAAACCAAACCCATGGCCACAGAGTCAGATCTGACTCATAGCGACCCCTCCGTGGGTTTCTGAGGCGGTATCACTACAGAAGTAGATTGCCCAACCTTCACTGTTTATAGGGCAGTCACGATGCAAATAATTAAATAAACCATATATATGTGGTTTTGCTATCATAAAAAAAGAAGAAAAAAAAAAACCTCACTGCCATCCAGTCAGATCCAGCTCATAGCAACCCCTCTTTCTTGGGTTTCTGTGGCAATATCACTATGGAAGTAGATTGCCCAATCTTCCTTCCAAGGAGTGGCTGGTGCGTTTGAACCACCAGCCTTCTGGTTAGCATGTATGTCAAGATTTAGCATTCATTCCTAAAAAATGCTCTTTTTCATTCTTAAAAATCTTAGTTTCCTAAGCATATAAAGCATGAAAATGTCCCTTATCTAGTACCACACTCTTCCATACAGATAAAAATACAGGATGTCAACACTCTCTTTTAAAAAGTCCATCAGTCGGCCATCCAAGGTTATAGAGTCAACAATTCATCAGAAAGAGAAACCAGTTCACATGATCTCTTGGGCTGTTGCTCAAACTGCATGTGTGCATATGCTGATAAACCACCTGGGTCCTCCATCAATAAATGGCATGCTGGCAGTGATGTCAGCATGTGGCCCAAACCCTTAGGGATTGCCTTGGCTATAAAAGCCATCTTAACCAAGGTCATGCCCTGTGTGTGTCTATAGGTTTCTTTCTGTGTGTGTGTGTGTGTGTGTGTGTGATGCATATCCAATAGCTCATCAGTACCGAGTATCCTGGCTCAAGATACTCTGAAGCACTAGAGCTCCCTTACCCCGGGTAAGCTGAGGCTCCCCTCGAGTCTGCAGAGAAACTCGATTTCTTCTGCCCAGTCCTGCATTGTTCTCTTTCCTTCCACCGATGTTGATCCCCAAAATTCTCCTTAATAAATACCCTGCATGCCAGCTCCATCTCTGAGGCTGCTTCTCAGCAACCCTACCTAAGACATTACATGCCACACACACAAGCAAAATGCTTCACTACAAACTCAGCATAAAAAAAAAAAAAATATTTCTTTTATTTAGTACTTTATAAAAAAAGCTTGACATTTATCATAAATACTGAGCCCAACATCTATTTCTCAGTTGTCACAGGTTTCTATATTAACTTCATCTTTATCATGTATAAAATACTACCATCCTGTTTGAGTGGTAGCCACACAAGAATAAGACACATTTCTTAGATCCACAGTAGGTTGTGAAAATCATTGCTATAGATCGACTTAGGTGCAGTTACCTTCAAAGAGATAAATGTGATAATGAAATAACTTTCCCTTCATTGAGTCAGCTGCAGGGGTCCAGGTGAGGAGAGGGAACTCCCTTCATTATTTTAAATATTCATTTTTACATTTGAATTGCCATAAGTATATAAGTGAAGCATTAGCCAATGCTGTGTCGTGGTTGATAAATCTGACCAGATTAGATTATTGTTGTCAGCTGCGTGGAGCTGATTCTGACTCCTATTGACCCTGTGGGACAGAATAGAACCGCCCCCTAGGGTTTCTAGGCTGTAATCTTTATGGGAGCTGATCACCAGGTCTTTTCTGCAGAGCTGCTGGGTGGGTTTGAACTGCCAAACTTTCAGTTAGCAGCTGCGTATTTAACTATTGCACCACCAGAACTCCTTCAGATTAGATTAGAAGTATTATTAGGGCACCATGTTGTGGTCCCCTTTTAGGCTTAAAAAATTCAAATTTCTATCTGTCCTGGTCTAGACAGGATAAACAGGCCTGTTTTACTTTTCACTTGAATTCTAAAGATAATCAGCAAAGAATTAAGTGGATGACATGGAACTTATTTCTAAAACTCAAGGCCTAGTACCTATGTAAACAAGTAATACTAAGGTCTGTTTAAGGAAAAACTATGAAATACACCACACTCACAGGGTTAGGACCCGTCTATACAGCCACATGAAAAGGTTGGGGATCGTTTGCTGACAAAGCAACCCAGTGAATTTTGCCTCAGACAGACAGTGAGAAACCAGCTAAAACTCCTTTCTGCCCTCTCCCGGATTAAAGATGAAAAGTTTTAATTTATTTCTAGTAAAACATTCCTGCCAATAATAACATATTCTCACATAAACTCCTGTTTATGTGCCTTGTCTGAATGTTGGCTTTTCTTTCAAAAGGGCCATATAAATTATTGGCTAAATTCTAATATTTAAGATGGAGGGTAATCTGGACATTTCTTTTCCTTTAAGTGCAGAGAGAATTTCAGTAGCAGAGAGAGTACTGCAGAGGTTCATTTGCCAGCCTCCTGGGAGTTAGACACAAAGTTCCTGAGGCCACATTGTTCCGGATGTATCCCTTGTGACATTCACATGTACATTTAGTGTGCCTAAGCCCATTAGTCTACTGTTTTATAAAAGATTTGGTGACACCAACTGGAGCCTTCTCCAGCAATATACAAGCCCAAACATCCTCCTGGAGAACTCTCCTGGGCTAAATTTAGGTGAAAATGAGCTGACAACAGCTATCATGGGAGAGGGGTTGCCATGCAACTGAAAGACAGATTTGGCCAGGGGCTGGGAGAGAAAAAGACAGAGGAAACAAACAAACAAACAAATTCAGCTATACATTTTGGCCCGGGGTATTAGTTCCAAGTGCTATCTGTGAACTGATTCACTTATCCTTTATCTAATTATGGGAGGGTAAGATAAGACTCTGGCTGTTCAGTCATTAGCTAAATTATCCAAAGCCATGAATGGAAACAAAAAGAAGCTGTACACATACACTGAGCTTGTTAGCAGTAAAGTAAAGGAGGGAAGGAGAAATAACTTTTCCCCCTGGATAGATCTTTTTCCACACGAGCTTTGGTGTATGCTTGCTGTTAAAA